CTCGATTTACCTCCAGTTGCACTTTATCACCTCATACTGCCTACCTATTAAAACAACCAGAAATGTCCGCCAAACTCTCATTGGTTCGGATGCATGTGAAATAGCCAGTTCGGACGGCGTTCCACACATCGTACTAAAACAAATTGTGACCTGGATTTAACTCCTGTTCTATGCCGTCTTCTCCGTTCTTCTCTTGTTTTCAGGTCATTCCCCTCTGCATTGAAAAACGTCATTATTGTTCCTATTAAAAAGCTTCGTGACCCTTTCGACCCAGACACTCATTTCTGCAATTTCTAAAGGGTTCGAAAACATAATCTTCGTTGAGCTACATACGCTCCTCCAAGGTTTGTTGAATGACCATCGATATAGATTTCGCCCACATCGATCCAATCGTGACCTACTGGCTCTCACATGGCATTCCGGGCCAACTGTACTCGATGACAATAGAGAAACTCACATGATCTTGCTCGACATTTCGAAGGCCTTTGACCGTGTTTGGTATGAAGGTCTATTGTCGAAATTGCCCACGTTCCGAATCCATCCATCTCTAGTATTGTGGCTCGTGTTTCCTCAGCGAACGAACCACTTCCGTTCGAGTCAATCGGGTCATATCTCGGTCATTCCTTGTGAATGTCGGTGTTCCTCAGGGATCCGTAATCTGACCCGCTCTCCTGATTTCATTTAGCAACGATTGTTTGTCCAAAACTTTAAGTGCTTTTTCAATTATGCCACTTTCCATTGCTCTTCTTTACAACACAAACCAATATCGAGTGCGATCGCAATGTCATTAATGCTTCTCTTGCCTCCGGTCTTGGATTCACTTTTGCATGGGGTTCTACCAATCATGTCACAATGCTTCCAAAATTTCTCTCCTCTCCAACTGTCTTAAACAGGTCCCTTATTATTGATTTTTGACTTACTGCCATTTCGTCTCATCAATTCTCTTTCCCTCTTGGGCTTAATCATAAATTCTTCTCTGTTGATCCCCTTTTAATTCCACACTCGCCTTTAACAAAATCGATTATCTGTTACGTGCCAAGCGATTCTTTACACCCAAGCACTTCTATTTTGCACAAAACTCAAACCCGCCCGTTGCCTGAATACTGAAATTACGTACGGCGTGGAGCTCCATAAAGCACCCTCTCATCCCAGCTGTGTAAGGGCATTAGGCTGATCGACGAACTGTTCTAACTTCAAACCTGCTTTCCCATCGCCGGGCTGTAATGTTATACCATTTCTATCGTTACTATTTTGATTTCTGCTCCTCTGAATTCGCCTAAGTTTCCCCTTACATTTACCTTTTCTCATCCATTTCGTTCTTAGGCGAGTAGTCACCCTTATCAGGTATCTGCCCCGATTTTGAAATTCAATCTTTCAGTTTTCTTTTATATCTACAGGACTGCGAAATTGCGGAAAACTCTTCCTATCTCCATGCTCCCAAGCATTTATAATCTCTCTTCAAAAAGAGGGTTAACCAATTGGTTCTCACCTGAATGTCTCCTCACATACCCTCTTACAGCAAGCAATTGACTATGGGGTTCACCCCTATTTGCTGTAAATCACTGTGTAAAAACGCGCGAACCGTGGCTGCGGCATGTTTGGGTCACGACCATTCGGCCTTCCAAGTTTTATTCATTGAGCTTCCGTG